TACAGTGAGCTGGATATTCTGCACATTATATAATAAGTAGGGAGCGTGTTGCATTCAGTTGAGACAAATGCTCAGTTTCTCTGAAGAATGCCTGTRTGACAAAATAAGCTCTGATTTATCACAGAGAGCATTAAACATGTGATCRTCATGAAAACGGAAATGTATCTTATTCATTCAGACAAACAGMCCTTTTTGTTCAAGTGAATGCATCATGCTTCTGTTAACATGGCCCATCTGTATTTTATTATTGTAAACCTTATGGGTTGAGTCTTTACTTGTATTGTTTGATAACCCCTCAGTACTTTGGTGTCTGATCCATGAATGGCATGTTGAGTGTTTCCCTCATAGTACTCATGGGAGATGTACTTGTAGAATGCTTGACTGGAGTAAATATCTCTACAGGGCTGGAAGGATTTCTTCAACCACTGTTAGTTGGTGGAACAGATGAGCTGTTAATGTAACAGCCAGTTTATAATACCATCCTCTACTTCACCATGTAAGGTGAAACCATAGGGACAGCTGGGGATGTGGCTACATGCTAACTAGCTCCTCTGCTTCCTCTCATCTTTAAAAGTACACGCACAGAAGTCACACCATTTCAATCCCGTAAAGACCAAAGACCCACAACACTGGCATTGGATAACAACACTGAATGTACACGTCTGCATGTGTCAGCACCATGAAAGTGAACCTACATGTTGGATCTTCTCCGCTGCTCGTCCTCCTCTTAAGCTCGTGTTTACTCAGCTGTTCTCAGATCGGTCTGTGTTCTTGCAGCGACAGATAAGGAGATTTCTGAACAGCTGTCACCGTCTCTGAGATCCGTTCCCCGGTCAGTCAGTTACCGGGATCACCGCCTACTACCGGACAGGAAACGTTTCTGTTTATCATGACTTCTGCCGGAAGTCACGTCTGCCCCCCGGCGGATGGGAGTGACATAACACAAACAAATTGATCAAGCCCACCCCCGTGTTGGAACAAGAGCTCTGCATTAAGTAACGTGAGACATGATGATCACCAGAGCTACGTTAGAGCTTATGCATACACCTGTTAACTTGTAGAAGAATCTATTTATGTTATTATAGTTAATGATGTGTTGAATCCATCACGTGTAGCCACATTGATTCGATTTTGCAAATCCTGCAAAACAAACATAAATGTGCCCGAAGGAAAAGGTAACTACATTTCTAATAATGCTACATTTTCACTGGCATGGTTTCTGTTTTTCACAAGGCACAAACAGGATTGTTTTTGCCACCATGAAATAATAACTGTATCCCTAAATCACATTTCTTCAGCAGAAAACTAATGTATGTGGGTATTTAGTAGGCTTGACACTTCAGTGCAAAGAGCAGAGGTATAATACTACTTAGTGTGGTAAGTATGCAGAGCACCTGTCCTCTATAAATAAAAATATAATATATATAAGACCTTTCAAAAGCCCAACAAGCAGATACACAGACACTTCACAGGAGTGGACAGGAGTGTCTTAGTCCCGCCTACCAGAACTGCATTGTAGAGGCTTTTTTTGTTGTTTTTTTCCAGTGAGGAGGCTCTCCAAAAAAAAATTCAGGGTAAAGTGACACTTTAAAAACAAAAACTGGATGTGGCATTATTAAAATTCATAGGAAGCTTGCAACGTTTGTGTGGACACAAGATCTCTGAGTATTTGTAATAATAGTCTTAAAAATAACTGTCGAGTGACTGACTGTCAACAAAACACAGAATATTATGTCATGCACTGAACTGGTATCTACTGTAGAGCTGCTGCTATGAAGCGTTGTCCTATTGTAAAAACCCTGAAGTCTATGGCTCAAGCTGTAAAACAAAATGTACCACACACAGTTTGCTGAACATCAATCCGCTGAGTTGAGTAGAATTCCAACAAAGAGGCCAGATTTTTAACAAAAATCTTTGCTTTATTTTTTCCGTTTTTTTTAATCCAGGACAACTTATTCAAGGAGAATCAAGGAGAAATAAGCACTATTTTTTTATTAGAATTTTTTTTCTCTTTTTACATTTTGTCAGAGATGGGTGGTGAACTCTATCATAATTGGTCAAAGCAAAACAAAAAATAATAAATGAAATATATAATAACGATACATTAATAATTAATTCAATACAATGAAGTGTGGCGTTGATGATAGAATAACAATTGCCCAGAAAACAAAGGGTTGTTATTGTTTTCACTGCTTCTTCTGTGGTACTGTAATAATCACCAGCACTAACTCAACTCAATCAACAACAGTAGAGGAAGAAATGGAGTGCACTCACAAAGTTCTGCACCCCGCCCTCCCGAAGAGGAAACACTTTTTTTTATTTAAATAATATTTTATCAAAGCTTCTGTTTTTTATCTTCATAAAACATTTCTAAAACTTCTGTCTTCTTTAAACATCACTTTTTTTGCATTTTTAATTCGTTTTCCTTTTCAGAGATTTTTTAAGGTTTTTGTCTCCATTTTACCACAATGTGTCCGTTTTTGCAAGTGTGGTTGTCTATGTGTATGAGAGTCTATATCTGTACCCGTGTGTATGTGTGTTGATGCGTCCTTGGCTGAGGATTGTTGGAACAATGTTGAGTTGTTTAAGTGCTCGTGTGAAGCTAGCACATATAAAGCATAAGGATGTCTTTTTGAATGTGAATGGAGTGTGTGTTCGTGTGTTTTATGTCCTTCACTGCTCTGACCTGTATTAAGGTCATTGCAGCTAAGACATTCATACTGGGAGGTTGAAGCTGGCTCAATAAACAAAGGGTGTGGGCCTTTAGCTAGCTGTGTGTGCGTACGTGTCCGCCTGTCTGTCCACAACACGAGCCTGTCACTGAGTGTGTTGAGCTAGAATGTGTACGAGGGTGAGCAGACTATAAGTGTGCTTCTCTCAGTGCCTATTTAGGTGTCAGTGTAACTGTCTGTGTGTATGCAAGTGTGTCTGTTTGTCTTTATAGGAAACAGGAAGTGAGGATTTATGTACCTGCAGGTGAGCAAAGTACAATTTCTCATGTGTTTGCACGGCTGTCTAAAGCTTATTATGAGTCTGTATGATATGAGTGTGTGTGTGTGTGTGTGTGTGTGTGTGTGTGTGTGTGTGTGTGTGTGTGTGCGTCTGTGTGTGTGTGGTAGAAGGCACGGAGGGTGGTGTGGGAGGCTCAGTCTCTCAGGTCCATGCTGGAGCCGAACAGGGCTACCAGCTGCTCCTCGTAGTGGGCGATGTTCCTCTTCATGATCTCCTTACAGGAGCCCAGGAGGCGCTCAAACGCCTGGATGTCTATTACTGCAGAGAGAGAGAGAGAGGGAGGGAGGGAGTTGTATTAGCTTGGGTATTAAAGACATAAGTCACAACAAATCCACTGAGCTCAATAGTTTATTTTTTATTTGCATATAGTATTTTGTATTTTATTTTTACATTTAATTATTTGTTTCCTAATTTTTATATTTTCTATATTTATAATTGCACAAACACACCGCAGCAAATTCCGCATATGTGTAAACCTACTTGACAATAAACCTGATTCCGAACAGCTCTTTGTGCAGCAGCGGTGGCACAGATTCAGGGTTCTGTGGATTGAGGCTGGCAGCTGATCTTTACTTTCTGTGGCTCAATTACTGCAGGTCACTTTTACAGAAAACTGCAACCAGCATTTCCACAGGTCACATAAACAGCCCATTCCAAAAGGCAGGTTTAGAACAACCACTGCACTAGAGTGAAACAATATCCTAACAACATGCTAAATCACTTCAGGGTTTTTCCAAGAGAGTCTTTAGCATAACATAATCTGTTATCAGTGGAACAATACTGTGAACTCTGGTAAAACAGCCCCTCCAGAAACACATGATGCAGCATGGTAACATGAGCCCAGGAGATGACAACAGTGTCTAATGTTCACGCTGTCACAGCAGAGAAAGTGAAGAAAGTTAGAGTAACACATTTCAGACAGGTGATTCAAAGAGGTGAGAAAAACAGTGAACAGACAAGGTTTCCCCTGTTTTCCTTAGCTTTCCACTAAGCTTCTCCTCTGTTACCATCAGAAGTGACGCAAATATTTAGATCATCAGTGAAATGTTTCTTAAGTTCAGCTGACGGTTTTAATTTGTGTTTAGACCTTTGGCCTCTCCAGTCTAAATGTTCCTAACGTGGCCTCAGGGGGCCCTCAAAGTCCTGCTCGTAGTAAACATCTGCAACAGAAGGAGAATGGTACATGTACAACAGACAGCACATTTTAACAGAAAGTTAAAATGAACAAAAAGTACAAGGTGATGAGAGACGAGATGAGAATTCATCTAAACACAAACACCGCTTGATATCTCATGACAGTCTGCATGTAGCAGTTCAATAAGAGGAACAAGAACACAGCAGGTTTTGGTGTGGGGTTGAGTGGTTGAATTATTGTTTATTAAATGCTTTTAATTTCACAGCAAGTTCAACTATATACTCAGGATTAATTTAATATTTTAAAGCTTCATAAAGACAAACAGGCAAATGTGTTCAAGGAGAGCTGTGCAGTGTATCCATTCTTACCCAAACACTTGACATTGCCGACTGCGTAGGCTGAGGCGGCCCGGGGCTTGTTAGTGACCAAGGCCAGCTCCCCAAAGTACTGACCCCTGTTACAGCGCGTTATCTCCACCTCCGCATTGTCTGCATGGTCCGCCTTCGTCTGTGGGGAGGGGAGAAGAATAGGAGCGGATTAAAGGTTAGGAACCGAGTGCCTCATTCTATTCACCCCAGCTGGAAGCACTCAGCGGCTGAGACTATTGTGATTCCCACTGTTGCCAGGCAAAAACACTTTTGTGCTCTGGTGGTTTTTAATGGGGAGTGTGGGCTGTCACTGTCAAAATCGTCTGCATAGAAGCTAGCTGGTAGAAGAATAAATCCACTGTTATACCGCTGAGAAAAGACAGCTGGAAAGAGGAGGGATGCAGAGAGGAATAAAATCACATTCACAGTAAAGTCTTTCAACTGAAAATATGGGATAAGGTGATCTTACTTTACTCTTCATCATGATCTTGACCTCCCCAGATTCTACAACATAGAAGCACTCAGCCTTGTCTCCCTGAGGAGAAGAAAACAGACATCAATACAATAGTTATGTGGCATTATATATGTGGGAAACCATAAGCATTTCATTTTCAGACACGAACTCTGGAAAATGTCTGGACAATTAGGTCTAGACTTTCTGCGGAGTTCACATTTTACATGTGAAGAATTCAGCTGGAGATTGTGTGGCTCTGTCACATACCCAACAGGAATATCTCAGAAACATTCAGGTGAGTGGTAGTGTCTGGGAAGATCATGCAGGAGGTGGGACATGACGTATAAATTCCACTGCAGAAATCAGTTTCGTTTTTTATTAACAGCACATCGACACTGTCGTCAGCTGATATCTCCAAAAACTCTCAAAGTCTCTCCAAGTTCACATCTTCATCTGCGTCTTCTACATGTATGACAGCTCTTTTCCATCTTGAGATATTTGTATTCTTTAAGTTATTTCTGTCACATGTTAGACGTCATCAACTAGCCTGCTCGCTCTGGGGTAATCTCCTGCTGTATTCTCACGTGGGCTTGTTCATTATCTAGAGGTTTTGCTAGGGAGCAGGCAGGGAATAACTCCAGAGAATGTCTTGCCTTCTCAAAAAAACCCCTCCGGATAATTTCAGGACATTACCCAGGGGTCAGTTTGTGTCTAAAAGCGGCTTTTGTCTCTCACCTGTGTGATGATGCGTTCACCATCTAAGAACTGCTTTGCTCCTAATACATCCACTATCTTCATCCTCTCTGTTGCCTGAACAGAGAAAAGAGGGAGAAATGTAGATGAGGACGAGAAGACAAATAAAGAGAGACACTGTGGGAGTAGTACAGTCTTCTCTTCTAGTCTCATACGTGGTTTGGCCATTCATCTGTTCTGTACATTTTAAGCCTTGTGGTGCAAAAAT